CCCAGTATTACTGTCCTCAATCGCATCGGCTTTGCCTATATAGGTGATAATTTTTTTTAAATTGACAGGTATAGGATAGATAGAGATAAAGAGAGAGAGAGAGAGAGATTTTAGGAAAGAGAGGCTCGGAGAGAGGAGAGAGAGAGAGACGGGGTAAAATAAATAGACAGAGACAGAGACGGTAGGGGGAGAATGGAGAAAGAGAGGAGAGTGGGAATGGTGGAAAGCGGCAAGATAGGGCGAGATTGGAGCACTGAACGAGATGAATAATGCATTCAAAAAGGGGGAGAAATCGAAAATCGTAAACAGCGCCAAGCACTCTGGGCCCGACTCTAATAATATCACCAGTTGCTGAGCTAGCTCGCAGGAGGTGTAATTTTGCGGTGACGACGAATCATGGGCATGCAAGGGGCAGCGGCCTAAAGAACGTGGGTGGAACAGCGTGAAGAAGTGGAATTCTGGTTTGTAGTTGTTACTGTTGTTCTTGTTTTTTCCTTTATTTTTGTTAATGTTGTTTCTCTCTATTGCATGTTACATTAAGAGCTATAGATAAAGAAAGGGAGAGAGACTTAGAGAGAGATGGGGAGGAGATGTACAACATAAATGCCAATAGAAAGTGTTAGAGAGAGAGAGAGGGGAAGAGAGAGAGAGAGAGGGGGAGAGTGTAAGGGAGGCGGAGAGAGAGCAAGTTATAACAATATCATTCCATCAGAGTTAAATAATAAATAGCAATGTGAAGTTCTATTGAACCAGTTTCCAAATCCCCCCTCAAAGTCCGGACGTCCTGCACTGACTTCTGAATATCACTTAGGCCCTCTCTCATATTTCTGTTCTCAGAAGTGAAATAGGAAAGGTGGCATTACCTATGGTGTATTACCCATACATAAAAATAGTATTCCGTTTCCATTTTTTCTATTCCATTTCCCCCCTAAACCTGCTACCGAAAATAAAATTGTATTTCGGGTTAAACAAAGTTTCATAATCACGAATCAGCTCAATTTAAACATGTGGGAACAAATCCAAATGGTTCAAATCATTCAAATGAATAGTTATCTTCTTGTGGTCTTCTTGAAATTCATATTGATTTCTACCTCCGTCCATGTACAACAATGCCAAAAAAAGAGTTGGATCATGAGAACAAAAAGAAAGTATATCATAAATAATTCCTAGAATATCATCATCAGGAAATGAGTATTGATTATTCTAGCATCTTTTGAAGTAACTACTGTACGACAAGCTAAGCCATGTACGAGAAAACATGCAGGCTCTAAACTTGTGTAACTTTCGTTCTCTCTACTGCACCTGTTCAAGCTTTATAGATCCGGTTGTGATCCAGGGGCCCAAGGGCCACCTTCCCCCCTCCCCCCCCCCCCTCCTCCTCCTCCTCCGCTCTGACGACAAATACCATTAACTTCATACACGCGTGTGCGATATTGTAACAAAAAGGGAGAAAGATAGATCCCTATAATTATGGTCCTAATAAAGTTGTGTACCCCTCCCATATTTGAGTAAATGTTTGTTTTTAAATCGGACACATACTGTTGACCTCCCCCCCCCCCCCCCCCCCCCATTTTTTGGTGGACGAATCATGAATACGCCACTGAAATCAGTTGTTGGCAAATTTGTAGCAACGCAAACTGTACAGTTGTTAGAACATCTAGATTTTAGAAGCCATATTTTTTTCTCGTGCTAAAAGTGCGGGCCAATTAGAGATCCGTACCGTTAGCATGACGTCAAAACTATCAACCTTACAAATCCGTTATTATTCAAAAATCGAAACCATATTTTCCCTCAAGATTTAAGTTCGAACAGTTAAAGATTAATATGGATTTTTAAGTCTACAAAGCAAATTTGTAGAACCTTTTATGAGAACATCTAAATTCCATTATTAATTTAATGTTAAGTTTCGGGACAAGTTACTTTATAATATCACATTTACTATATCACTTTATGTTTTACTAATTTTAGTATTCATGGTTTATTAACTCAGTATTTGAATGTATGGAATCCATTTTTTCTAATTTTAAGTGTTTAAGCCGAGCCCTAACCACGTCATAGTATGGTCTGGAGGTTGAGATAAATTATTTTTGATCATATAGCATTATGGCGCGTCATCCAGTAACGACCTTAAAAATGTAATTTACTGGGAAGCCCTAAAATGACCTTTTTTTTTCCTTCAAGTACTCATGCACAAATACACACGTATATACCTCCATAAGCAAATATTTTGGCCCGAATTCACAAAGGAGGTTTGACGACAAACCTAGGTTTATGTGCGTCCTATGACGTGCGTTTCGACGCGTTTCAAACCAAGGTAGTATTAGTATTATTAATATTAATATTATTATTATTATAAGCAAAAGAAAAATATTTTTGGGAACTTTGGGCAAAACGCAAACTAGGAAGACAAAAGCTATTATAAAGCTTACTATGCAGAACCACAAGGTTCAAATTCAGAAATGATGGAAATGTACAACGACACAAATGAAATAATAGCTACTCCGTATTCAAAATGGAATGATACCGTTACATTTTCGAACAGTTTATTCCAAGTAAATATATGCTCGCTTCATAGTGTCGAAACAAGGCCAGGCTCATTAAAATACATTTCTGTATTTTTCCATTCCCATCGTCCTTCTCGAATATATCATTTCAATCGAAAGGCCATCCATTATGAATAAGAAATAATTACGAATCTGAATTGTTTCATTTCTACCAGCAAAAGATGATTACATAAAGGCTTTCCTGGAAATTGATATACAAAGGGGATGGGAGCAGACGTCTGCTCAACGACGTAATACGCCACATCGTTCAGATTAAAGGGATCGTTTAACAATGTTAAATCTGAGATGCACGGCCCTACGTGTTATCAGTGTGTATGATACGATGTAATATTGAAGCCCTAAAAAAATTGCGCTTCAAAATGATCAAGAAGTGCCTCAAAAAAGTAAAAATCTTTGAGTGACCGGTTTTACCATACTCGTTTTCCCCAATAGACTGTAGTGTTTATGAAAACCGTCAGGCGAACGGTTTTCAAAATTTGTAATTCCAATCATAAATATCTTGATAATCAGACAGGCGATCGGCTTGTAAAAGTCACGGGGTTCCTGACTGACCTAAAGGTTTATAATTATCATTGCATCATGCGCTAAATCCAGAATATGTTTTCAGAATCTGAGACAAAGTTACCGGGTCCCTTTAAGAGGGCATACTGATGCATATTTTCAACATTCCAATGCCATCTGAGGCAGAACACAAATCAAATATTGCTACCCCATGTACATATTTTAAGATGTTTTGATTTGTCTGGGTCTGAAAACTGGAATGGAGGGGAGGGGGGTACTCCAACTACCCTTATGTTCTGGAGGCGACACTGCTATGTGCGAAGTGTGCCTTCCATTTCCCAATTGCCTCCTGTACCAAGTGTTGTTTTAATGACTTCTCGTTAAACAGGAGTTACCGGCAGAGTAGAAATGAGCAGAAATGTAGTCATATCGTCTAGTATGGGAAAAGCTATACGCCTGCCAGATCGATGAACTGCGCGTGCCTCATTACCCCTATAGCATCCGGGGACTCATAAGCCAATACCCTTTTTTCCTTCTCCTTCTTCATCTTCTTTCATCCCCCTCGATTCAGAACCCGTTTATGATATCATTTTCTATAAATTCGTTAGACTCTGTCCAGCTGGTCTTATCGTTAAAGTAGCTTCAATATAAGTAATTTAGTAAAGCGATGTTAGCATCTATCCTGTGTCAGCAGCATTGTAACAAATGGAGGCGAGGGTGCTCTGTGCCCCCTCCCCCATCTCAACATCGAATGGTAACAAAGAAAAGGGGAAGAGAAGAAAAAAGGAAAGAGAAACAAAGAAGTTGGAAAGAAAACATGAAAGGCAGATGGCACGACTCCTCCCATACCCCGTCCTCGTTTCGATGGTTATGTTCTGTCTTTATTTCATTCAACTGGATGTCTTAGTCCCCATATAAAAATCAGCCCCGCCCCCTGACCTGACCAGGCCACCAGTTAGTCATTTTAATATTTTTTCAAAAAGTTTTAAAGAAGAAAAAACTTACTGAAATTGTAAATTATGTTTTTATTCACTAATCAATTTTTACGCTGTGACGTATTATGAAATGATAACCTCACAAGCCTTTCAGCTACGCTATATCGCTAATTGCATGATATACCTCGTCAACAGTGGTATAATCTCGAGTTACTTTCTTAAAAAGTAACTATTGTCGTTATTGGTGTATTATAAGCCGATGTGCATTAAAAGCCAAATATTTTGCTTAAGTTGCCATCATTACCAATAATTTTGTAACCTCTTGTTGTTTGTTACGCGTGGACATACAGTTACCAACTAAATTATTCATACCCTTACCAAGTTTTCTAATTGTGTTAGTATGTGAAACAAAGGTTTGTCCCATTATTCATTTCTGAGAATGTGACAAATCAAAGCTTACATTTATAAGCATTTAACAAAGCCATTAATGCCACCAGTCCCCTTTTTATTCTCGAGTAACGAAAAACAACAAAAAACATCAAATCTACAAGGGGTATGAATAATTTAGTTGTTCACTGTATATGATTGGGGGTGAAGTTGTACTGCAGATAGTCGAGTAGGAAAAGTAATATAAAAACACTTTAGCAATATATGGCACATGAAGACAACTGTAATCCCCTTCCTTCCAATCATATACGATAAATGCAATGTTCAACTACAATCCAAATCATTACCATAACCGTTTTCTAACCCTTAACTTATTTTTATCTGAGAATTTATAGCAATTGCCTGTTTGCCCTTCTTATTAGTTGATAATAAATAAAAAAAATACTTTGACAGCAAAGATGTACCCTCAAGATGTCAAACAATTATTGAAATATATGCGACTAAAAACTGCTCGTTAATTGGAATATTGTAGATGCGAAAGCAATGATAATAGGGAGTTGGCAATAATGATGACCAGCAGGGCCCCGTTGCATAAAACTTTTTCTTACCATAATTGAAACTATAGTAGCTACCATAATTGGCTGGCGAATTAATGGTAAGCTACTATAATTGGCATTTTCCATTGCATAAAAAGAGTAGTAAGCTACTATAATAGTAACGTCATTGAATCGATCGAAACAAGCAGGCGCATGCGCAGATCGGCGAGCGGGATGTTTATTTTTTGTCGACCGTCTGCAGCTGCTACTGTTCTGAGAAACCGAAGTTCAGTGTGGTGCAATGGCGTCCCCAACTAACGTAAGTTTACGCCTTTATAATTTATCGATCCACTTTTGTAAACTGCAGTACTTCAGAAATGAAAATGAATTGTTGTTAGTCATGTTGAATTCGTAAATAGTGCGAATCTCTTCAAATTTCATCGAATATAATGACGGTTTTTGTTACGGTGTCGGTGATGAATTGTGTGGTGTGTTGATGCAGCTGTGCCGAACGGGATGGTCCCGCGAATCTCCCCCGGAGCTCTTGGGGCGATTCAACGGCATCTCTGTGTGTGTGCGTATCGTACATTGCTTGTTGTATACGTCCGCGAAGGTCTGCTATTAATTAATTTAAACATCGAAATACATCATCCATGGTATTTCAAACGACTAACAATGCTCCTTACGATGCAGAGTCACAGTTCGATATATTTCCCTTGATTATTTTTCTGTTTCTAGACCTAAGTTCAGCAGTTGATTTCAAGTTGCAATTTTATTATTTTATTAATGAACCACTCACTCAGTCTCAGCTCACTGACTTAGTCCTATTGATGCAGGTACTTGTTACTTGGTAGGATTCCTCCAAAAGACGCCGTAAAGGTGTTTAAACTGGAGGTGTGTCGTCATGTGCGGCCACCAACTTAAGCCTAGGCTAAGGTGCTGGTTAAGTGGTTTAAAGTTGGGTTTTCAACTTGATGAGTCATTGACATTGAATGACAGACTAAGAAGAATGATAACCGAATTCAAGCTGACTCTGTGTTGTTAAATTGAATTAGTGATGTGGGCAAGTTGAGTTAGACCCAAAACTAAAAGCTGAATAATATGCTGCTTTACTTAGTTTAGTTTAGTTCAAGACTCGAGTGCTTTCCATAGCTTAGTTTTTAACAACAGCTACAAATGAGCTAGGCCTGCTAGTGCGTGTGTTGTGTCAGTTGTGACAGACATTGGGCACTATACATGTAGATCTTGGTCTACCCTTCTAGATTATATTGTTGCGTATATAATGTAATTGCACCTCTGTCAAAATAGAGGTTCAGGGGTTTGCGTGAACCCCCCCCCCCCCCCCCCCCCCGGCCCCTCCCCCTAACGATATTTTGTTTTGTTTTAATATTTAATAAATTTTGCTCAAGAGGAAGGGGGGGGGGTGTTAATTTAAAAAAAAAATATGGTGCTCTATACCCCCCCCCCCCCCCCCCCCCATGTTGAGCAACAAATTTATTAAAAAATGATTTCTTAACAATGAACGAATGAATAACACTTCAAGGTTAATGTAACTTTGGTCTTTGCAGAAACAAACAAAGAGGAGAGGAAACTACAGCGATTGCCAAATCGAGCATCTATGCAGGTTTGTCCAGGGAAAATGTGCCATCCTATTCGGCAAGGCAGGAAACTGCAGCGAACGGGTAAGACTTCTGAATTGATATGATAAAATTTTACGTGCTAATAATGGTACTTACGTTCCCTCCTAAATCAATGACTTTATTTTGAGGTGAGACCCTCCCCTTCAGATTTGGGGCGTGAAGAGACCAATCACTGCAAAATATAGAAGGGGCATTTTGAAACTGAAACAAATATAACTGATGCTTTTAATTGTATTTAATATTTGTAATGTTTGTAGTATTACGGGATGATTCTTTTTCACATTTAGTAGGGTCTAAACGTATTTTTGCAAGGATTAGAACTTTAATGACATAAAATGTGCATCTGCATGAGTGCTATTGCATTCTTGTTCCTGAAACTATAATATTACCTCCAATCTTTATTTTTATTTAGGTGCAGGAGAGGAAGAAAAGGGCGTGGGAGGAGGCAGCCATCACCATGGCGGCCATAGGTTGCCCCAACCGGTCGGGCAAGGACTTGAGGTTGTTGTGGAACGACCTCAGGTCAAAGGCCAAAAAATATAGAGACAGCCGCAATAAGACGGGTGAGTCTTTTTGCTTAAAAATAAAAATTACGATGTGAAATAAAATCTGTGCCACTTTACAATTATTTTGTTGTTATCTGTCTTTGAGTTTTGCATAGAAATTTATTACACAGCTCAAACAGAATTTGTTTAAAGGCCAAGTAAATATGTGCTTTTTATTAAGCAATCTTTTCATTGCTCAGGGTAAGGTGTCTATCTTGACAACAATGCAACTCTGCAAATCTTTCATGTCAAATACATATCACACTAAAATTGCCATCATCACTGTGATGCCTACTGTAGTCTAATTAAAGGTCAGTGTAATTGTTTTGGTTTAAATTAAATACATATGTAAGAATGTATTGACAGTCATTGAATGATTCTCAATATTTTTCTTATTTAAAGCTTATCTGCCATAGTTTACAGGAGGGATTATATCGCCCTGCAAGGTCACTGGACAGGTGGTTATCTCATCAATTCAGCTCTCAGTTAACATAAGAAAAAGAGGATCATGGGGGACCAATGATCACCGATTAGGCATTGTTTGTTATATAGAGGGCGCAAGTAGCTACAAGTAGTGCAGTGGGCCTTTAATTCTTAAAAAAAAAAAAAAAACACATTTTATATATCTTTGAGAAGTTCTATAATGTGTTATCTATTTCTTCTTTTCTTGTTTTGTCTTCTCAATCTCCAGGGGGAGGAGCGTTCGACTTCAATCCAAGGCATGAGATGGTGCTGAGTGCGATGACAAGACAAGTCAAGGAGGGGATCTTGCCTCAGTCCAGCGAGACTGGAGCTTCACCACTGCCGGTAAACATTGATTATTACAGGAGAGTCATAAAAACCCTCACATAAATGTAGAGGGTGTATCGGAATTTACAATTTATCAATGTAATTTTATTTTTTCTTTGAAAAGGTAATTTGATCAAATATTTCCTGTATTTGTTATATTGTTTATTTCACAATTTTACTCCATGTATAATTGTCATACATATTTTTTGTTAATTAATATAAAAAGAGCAACTGCTCTGAATTTCTTGAGAATAAGCAAAACACCTAACCATGCAATTTCCATTTCAAATTTTTGACCAAAAAAAAAGGAATAGTATTTACAATTTAGTTTTGGCTTTGTTTTCATTTCTTCTTCACAGTTGTCTCAAAATGCAGGGGCCGTGGAGCTTCTGCAGAGCATGGGGGAGGAGGCAGGAGCGGTGGAGGAGGAGGTGGAGGGGGATGAGGTAGAGATGGTTGAGGAGAGGGAGCCCAGAAGGGGGAAGATGAAGACAAAATTTGGTGGAAAAAAAACAGTGAAAAAGTCTAACGGGGTGTCGTACGAAGAGTACCAAGAGCGTCTCCTGCAAGTTGAGCAGGAGAAGCTTGAAGTGATGAAAAAAAATCATGATTTGTTGAAAAATAATCATGATTTGATGAAAAGTATGCTGACAGTGATGTCAGAATACTTTTCATCAAATCATGATTGTGCAAAATGATTTATTTTTTTTTTCATTTTTAGAAAATTTACCGTTATTTGATTTGATTCCATTGACTTCAAACATATCAAGATTCTCCTGCTCAATATTTGGTAAGACGCTTTTGGTATTCTTCAAACTATGTACAATTTCACCTCCCCCTTTCCATTCTCTCTCTCCTAAACCATCTCCATCTCTTTCTCTTCTTCCAAACATTATTGGTGCCTTTTTTGATGCCTCATGATCAATGTCTTCCCAATTTCACTTTGTAAATCGCTCAACTTTCATCTGTGTAATATATGTAGGGTAAGAAAAATACTCCCCAAAGAAACTTGTAGCCATGCTATTCGATCGCTTGTGCTTAGTAGGTTAGGTTACTTAAACTCCCTAGATTTATTAATGTGAATAAAACAAATATTGAGAGGTTGCAGAGCATCCAACATCATACCGCCATGATTGTTTTGAAAGCAAGGAAGCAGGATAGGGCAACTCCTTTATTGGAGCATTTACATTGGTTGCATATTGAGAAGAGAATTCGTACAAGGTTTCTTTGATTGTTTATAAGTGCATACACAAATTTCCCTGCTGAATTCAAACGCTATTTTCAGGAATTTCCTCTTCTACCATATAGCAGATAAGCTGATGTGACAGAGGACCACTCAGCAAACAATGTATTTTAGATTTTGACCAGAAGGTAATTTGTACATTTTGCAGACAAAATCTAATTTTGTCATGTGCGGCATGAATCTCAATTATGTCAGATTATTCCTGTCTGTTTAAAGTTGATAGTGACCTAGAATCCAAATGAAACAAAGAAACAAAGAAACAAAGAATATTGGTAATTTTTAAGACTTTATTGTCAGATTCCGTTGAGTGCATGATTCAATTCTTTTTCAAAGTTAACAATACATGTGAAGAGTTCATTTGAATATGTGCACATCGTAATTCCACCTCTTGCAATAACCAAACTGAAAATGAATCGGTCTTTACTTGGCACAAAACATACCACTGTGCAGTACAAGTATCTGAAATATTAGAACCTAAGTAGAAACACTTCCACAAAGACAATTCCAAGTTCCGATATTTTTAAGAGGAACTTTTAGATGGTTTTATCATTTGATTACTCTCAGATTTACACATGTTTATATTTTCAGCCTTTAAATGTATACTCCACCTTTAAGGGAAGATGGTAAATTGCACTATTTTGCAAATTCCATAGACCAGTTAGGTACAAGTCAATCTTTAACCTGACAGAACCTTGTTTCTTAACCAACTAAAATTAGTTAGGAGGTCAGAAAACTATGATCACTGTATTTTGTTGTTATAAAATACAGCATTAAATCTATACATTCACATTGAAATATACTGTATAGTGCTTGCAAACAAGTTATGACATTTATGAAAAGTAATTATTGATGAGTTCTGCTCGAAGAGCAATGCCAGTCAGTTGGTTCTGATCTGCGGGGTGGTGTGGCACTTCATCCGGTTCCACTTCGATGGCTTGTTCCGGTTCTTTAAGGTCTTTGGCGATGTTAAAGAGCACGGCACAGGCAATTATGATGTCGCATGCTCTTGGTGCAGACATCTGGATCCCTTGTCCCATCAGGCACCTGAATTTGTTTTTCAATTGCCCATTCAATTGTTCTATGGTGACACGTGTTCTGCAGTGTGCCCTGTATACATAGTAGTCAGAAATATTATAATGAATAAATAATCCAACACTGTAGTAATCAATTTTTGGTACATGCTACATCTCTCAGGATCTTTATTAACCCAACTTACCCTTTAAGAAAAAGCATTTGTAAATATCGATATAATATATGCTATTATCTTGCCAAGACCTTTTCTTCCTTTATTACATCATTAACAAAGACTCAAACTACAATTGTATTCATTTTGTACCAATATAATTATATACTATTATAAGATCTAAATATTTATTTATCTTTTTTAAGTTATACATTATTTATATTCAAATGAACATAATTTATAAATGTATATAAAGTGTATGGTATTATGATCTATGTTCAAATTTTGAGATGTACTTTGTACAAATATAGTTGGTATTATGTTATTAAACTGATACATTCCATCACTTTTAATCATTGAAGGGCTCTCTGATTATTTGTAAGTAACACTTTAAAGATTTGAGTGAACGTGATGGATTGAGTACTTGCCTGTTGTAATTTCTTTCAGCATTGCCTTGTGGGTCCCGTAGTGGGGTGATTAGCCAAGGCTGGAGGGGGTAGCCGGAATCTCCAACCAAGATGCCAGGTAGCTCTCCGTCTGCGAAACGCTCTCCAATGCGACTGTTCTGTGTATTGAATTATGAAGAAATGTATCATTATTGTTATCTTTGCAAAATGTGATTAACAAAACAAAACAAAACAAATACAGTTTGGGCTTCTCTCAGTCCATGGCAAACAAATTGAGAAAGATGTCAGACATTACATAGTACTTTAATATATTTCTTTAATATCAATGTGACATTTATTTGTTTAAATTAAGAAATTAAAATTATTAATATAGACTAAATGGATGATTGATGATGATAATGATGATGGTGATAATGATTTTAATGATGAGTAGGATGGTAATCATGATATTGGCAGTGATGATAATAGTGATCAGAGATGCTGATAAAACCGTCACATACCCTCAATACTCGGCTGTCGTGAGTGCTCCCAGGCCATCTTGCACACACGTTGGTTATCTTGTACCTCGCATTGCAAATAAGCTGGACGTTTATGGAGTGCTTGCCCTTCCGATTCGTATAGATGTACTCGTCGTCGAGGGGAGCCCCATGCAGTTCAACGTGAGTCCCGTCGACGGCCCCGACAACGTTGGGCATTCCAGCGAGGTTAAAAAAATCGACCTGTGCCGTTCTGACTTCTTCCATGGTTTCCGGGAACTTGATCACCTGTTGGTAAAGAGTAAATATGTGTTAAATTGTTGTCATATATGTCACACTTTTGGCAATGTTCAAATTCATAGACTGTAAATAGCGTTAATATTCAACAACAAAAAAAGTGAATGATTTTTCATCTAATTTGATATACCATGGATGTTTTATTGTATAGTACTATTTCTCATCATAGTCAATTCACTATAACGAATTGTTATGATAAGGGAATTTTTTCAGGGGGAGCTAGTCAAGTGTTTCATGTTCAATTATTGATATAGTTCATGAATAAGACATTATATAAACAGCACTGATTTGATGAAATTAGAAAAAAACTCCCACTATGATGCCATATCACGTGTTTTAATCCAAAATAACTTTTTAATTATGTATCCTTTATCATATGGCCCATTTTTTATTACAAATCAGCCGTTTCATTTCTTTAATTTTGCTTTATCAATTAAAAAAAAAACGTCTGGATTTGTTCTTAAAAAGATGGATTTCTTAGGTAGTAAGGAGTATGAAAGTGTTTATATTCATCATTTGGTAAACGTCTCGAAACAACTGGTATAGACACGATCATATGAAAAAAAATATGCACGATCAAGAAAACAAATTGACAACACCATAGCTACAGCCGTCTTTCATTTTCACAACAAAATTTTGAGTGTCTAACTTTAGATAATTCTCGCTACACGTTTAATTCGATGCAGGGCGCAGGATCGGAAGATGTAAAGAGAGCTAAGCCTCTAGATCTACCTGCGATCAGCAGAGGTGAACAATTTTACAAAAAACCGTTCGTGTATATTTCAAAACTTTTGAGAGTACTTTTGCAGTACCGTGTTGACAAATTATTATGCTATAGTGTTAAACCAACTCGAAGTTTGTGACTCGGTCACTCAAAACCTTCGGGTAAGTACAGAATCTTCGTGCCTTACATGAATTTCCACATGTGGGACTGGTCGCAAAAAAAAGTTTCGTTGCATTTGGGTGGAGACTACAGTGACTTTAACAACAATTGCATAAAATCTCTGTTACGTGAATTTGATTTCAGTAACCCTGATATATATCCGTAAGCCATTTAATTGATCTAGATTAGTCATCTAAATATTTTTTGGTATAAGGATGAGAAAATTATGATTCTTCCAAGAGTTAATGGGGGAAATTGCGGTGCCATCGCAGCCGATACGCCAGTCGGCTATCGCTCCGCGGGTGCTGGGCTAGCTGCAGACGGTAGACGGACCCCATAGCAACGACAGGGCTATTTTTTTTTGTAAATCGAGACTTGAAAGAACTTATTTAAAAAGTTCATTTATGGATAAAAGATCTCGAATTAAGGCATATATCTACCGAAATGGGGTTTTGCCTCATGAACACTGTACTGGGTATATATTCTAAGGAATGAATATTGGTAAAAATGTGTGATTTTCTTGCCAATTCAACCATGAAAAGTGAAATGATCACATTCACATAATTAATTCAGGATTTAAAGTCTAAGAATGGATCATATTCATGCCATAAAAACATTAACAAAATGAATAAATACCTCGTCCCGGAGCTCGCCGAGGGCTAAAGCAACTCTCCGCACCGTTCTAGATGTAGTAGAGATGTGTATGCCATGGATGCAGCTAGTGCAGTCCATCACAGAGCCGGTGGCGAAAAAACGAAGAGCGACGAAAACTTGCAAGCTTGGGGGTAACGCGTGGTTTCTCTGGGTTCTATGTTGGATCCTTCTGGATAGTCTGTTAATGAGGTGGAGGCATCCCTGCCTGCTAAACCTATACAACTTGAACATTTGTTCGTCGTCGTATAGGTCTAAGGGATGCCTCCGGTCCCGAAATACCCTCTCTCTTCTTAGAGCAGCGGCGTGCTGTATAGCATGTAGTATGGCTGCCATCTTGGAATGAAAGCTTACCGTAATTGATTGATGGTAGTTAACGCTACCTTCATAGCTGTAGTAAAGTTACCGCTGTTTCTGAAGAGCTTACCGCTAAAAAACTACGTTAACTCTTTATGCAATGGAAAGTTAACGCTAACTTTAAATTTAACGCTGTTTCTGGACTTACCGCTAAATTAGGGGCTTAACGCTACGTTAAAAGTTTTATGCAACGGGGCCCAGTTCGTACGACTTCATTGTGATAAAGAAGAGTGAAAATGATATAAATACTATATAATTAGGCCAACACGAGCCTTATTTTAACAAATTAATACATAGTGATGAAAAGAAACGATGGACCGTGATGAATCACAACGTACGTACTCGAGACAAGAAACACGAACTGAAAACGTGCATTTCTAGCTCGGCAACAGACTAATCGTACTACCCATCAAAACCATCTCGACCGTACTATGACGTCACAATCACTCATCATTCATCCCGAGCATAATATTAATATACAATCGTTATCAGATGACAGTATTCAACGCATACATACATGATGTGACTGGGAGCCCCGGGCGCGAAAGCTCGCTAATTCACTTGTAGACAATTCCAAGCTTGAATATCCCCATGACAACGGAATATTCACTTACCTCTTGTAAATGATGAAGCACGATGACGTCATACTAGGGCAGAACAGAGCCTAAAGGTGTCATAAATTTACGTTCTGTAAGAAAGTATAGCGGATTTATGAATCCCGTTTAGCATTGAAGCCGCTCGTTTGAGGAATGCAATAGTCATTATGCGAAATGGATAAATTAATACTTTTTTTCAGTCAAAATGTGCACATTTTCAATGTCTAATTCTAAGCTACGTTGGGGGTTGCATGTGTTTGTTTTAATGAAACTAAAACCAGAGCTACGAGAATTTTTGTTCGTAGTCATTTATAATCACACCATTCTCTGGCTAGTTTAATGTAATCGACATTCTAACTTGAATTAGAAGGCATGCTCAATAAAATGTCATTGTGGTTAAAGGATAATAAGTAGACTATCTACCCGCTGTAATGCATATTAATATTTATTCTGCTTATAAAATTATTTTACCACAGACAAATTTCAAAATTCAGCATTACACCATTACCATTTTTCTCAGCCTCCACTTTTTGTAATCATTTGCACCGTAAATTATGAACTTTGAAAAATATTTCTGTGTAGGAAAATAAGGTATGTATTACATTAGGCTATCTCATGACACATCGATATCGTACTTCCAAGCTTTTCCTTAATGTTGATGTACATGTGTTTTCATAGAATAGAGAATGTTCGTATAGATGTATGCTGCATGATTAGAAATGTATATTCCTATCCAAAAAAAAGAAGATTGACTTGATGGGTAGATAAGTCAGGCTAAATCAGCAAACGCTATTCATAAATGTTCGCAATCTCAAGATCGAAAGTTAGGATGTGTCCATGAGTCTGTTCATACGGTATTTTATATCTTTACTAAGTTAAAATCTGCTTCGAAAATCACTTTTTGCGATAATACTTCACTGTTCTCAATTTGTATGTCCTAATGCCGCGTTTAAAACTATACGAATGCTCAGATATTACACACCGTATGGACAGGTTGGAAAGTAACGCGGCAAGAAGAGACCGTATGGACAGCGAATAGGATTACATAAAAACCCAAATGGAGCCAAGTCATAATCGGGTCTAATCCAGGTTTAAAAGCCGAATGAACACGATGTGTCAGATGACCAGTTAAATGAACATGGTGCACGACTCAATGATCGTGTGTAATAGGAATGAGATATACCGATACGGTATTATGGCTTCCGCAAGACTTTGATTGCAAAATGTCCTCTACCAAACCTCGTCCAGACATGCAGTGGTAAACCGCGGCCGTGTTATTTGGTTCTTCTTTTTTAAATGATGGTTTAGCTCTAGAAAGTCGCGTTGGATCTTTGGTGCAAGCAGTTGCATTTCATTTACACGGCAAAAAAAAAACTTGCGGCAGTTTTTGTTTTGTTTAATTGTTGTTTGTAGTTTGTTTATGTTTTCCACGTCATTGTGAATGAGCCTATATGCGTAGCACTCTTTCAGAACTTCAGTAAGATAAAAAGCATATATATTTTTGTGGTTGTCATCTCTCGCATACCCGTATTTTTTTTTTACTGTATGTGATTCCCCTTTTATTTACTTTAAAGGGGAAGTTTATCCTGATATTAGGTTAAAATAGAAGCAGAAGAATGAGAAGAACATGTCAGTGCAAGTTTTAGCAAAATCCGATTAAAAATTAAAAGTCATGCATTTTTTGAAGTCGCGATCGATTAAACACAACTCGGCAACTCTGTATTCGCTCCAAGTTGATTCGCTCTCTACAGAAAATTTCACAAACTTTAAGTTTTTTAGTTATTGATAACGGAATAGATTTATTTCATAAATGGGTTCCCGTGTATGAAATTTTATTACAGGTCACAAATTTCTGAATTCTTAGTGCAGAAATAACGTATATATATTAAGAGTAATTATACACCGTCGGCTTTCCTCCATACTCGAACGCTCAACCTGTTTGACTATGGACAGCTAATGCAGTCATCTAACCAGCAACAAGTACAAGTAGGAGCAGCAGTGGTGATTTATTCAATGAGATTGCTCTTGAAGGATGGCGAAGGAAGAGCAAAGGACTTCCGGAGACTAGTCCGGCCTGAAGGATGTGTTGCCAGAAAAACAGGAAGGGAGAGAACGACATACATCCGCACAGAGGGGGACATTACGCCAGATTCAGTTCACAACTAAATTATTCATACCCGTTGTAAATTTGATGTTTGTTTTTTTCGTTTTTCGTAGATTCAGAAATAGGGCCTTTTTTGAAAAGTTGTCGATGCAAGCATTAATTTGTTACATTCTCATGAAGAAAAAAAAAAGGAAAATCCTTTTTCCCCCACATACTAAGCAAATTTAAAAAAAATTGTAAGGGTATGAATAATTCAGTTGTAAACGGTATATGTATATAGGTAGAGAGAGAGAGAGAGAGATGAGGAAGGAGAGGTAGAAGGAGAAAGAGATATTGAGATAGCGATAAAGAGAACAAGAAGGTGAGAGAGAGAGAGAGGAGGGAGGAGAGGTAGAAGGAGAAAGAGATATTGAGATAGCGATAAAGAGAACAAGAAGGTGAGAGAGAGAGAGAGGAGGGAGGAGAGGTAGAAGGAGAAAGAGATATTGAGATAGCGATAAAGAGAACAAGAAGGTGAGAGAGAGAGAGAGGAGGGAGGAGAGGTAGAAGGAGAAAGAGATATTGAGATAGCGATAAAGAGAACAAGAAGGTGAGAGAGAGAGAGAGAGAGAGGAGGGAGGAGAGGTAGAAGGAGAAAGAGATATTGAGATAGCGATAAAGAGAACAAAAAGGTGAGAGAGAGAGAGAGAGAGAGAGAGAGAGGAGGGAGGAGAGGTAGAAGGAGAAAGAGATATTGAGATAGCGATAAAGAGAACAAGAAGGTGAGAGAGAGAGAGAGAGAGGAGGGAGGAGAGGTAGAAGGAGAAAGAGACACTGAGATAGCGATAAAGAGAACAAGAAGGTGAGAGAGAGAAAAGCGAATAAAAGGATGGTAAATAAATGCGTTGTGAAAAAAACAAATATTGCATTAATTTTTCTTAAAGACACACCTACTACAGCCTTGGTCATTAGTGACCACTCACGGATTGTAACTGAGGTTTTATGGGCGTGTCGTGGGCTCATTACGTTACCACAAGTTTTGTGGGGTCAAAATAACCTTTGATGTACACGGCAATAGGTGCATAATGTAGTTTTACACATAAGTGGAGTCATTACGTAGTCGGTCGCTCAAAATTTGCGCGGTTACATTTTGAAGGCTCTCAATATAATTATAGGCAGTAGAAAGCAAGTAAATACACGAGAGGTCAATTTTTATTAACAATTCCATCTTTCTCCTTGAAACTCTCGAATTAAGAGTTTCCAAGAACCTAAGACAGCTTTCATATAACAAAAAAAGACTTTTGTGAACAAAAGCATTTGTATGTGTGTGTGTGTGTGTGTTTGTGTTGTTTGAGAGAGAGAGACGTATAAAATGAGATTTAAGAACACATCATACGTCATAGCTTCCTATTGGGTTTATTTTGAGAGGGGAAATAGAGGTGTAATCAATAATGGGTGCGTGTCCAAGTTTTAAATAGGACATTATTTTCGCTACATCGATTGATGGAGAGGTAAATGAAATCCAGTATCAAAAAAATTGAATACCTTGTCATCATTTCTGATATTATCCTCTTATCACATGCCTCTGCTCAATTTGTCCATGTTTTTTTTTGTTAATATTTATTATATATTATGAGTGAGATTGATCATAATAATAATAATAATAGCCCACATTTATAATGCGCCTAATACTTTGTTTCTAGGCGCGGAACATATTATTACCCCGGTCATCGGATTTAGGCTTACCCGCAACACAATGTTTGCACATTTTCCAGCCAGTCGAAATTTTACAAGCGCCATTGCTAATCAAAACACATTAGCTTTCGCATCCTACCGGGTACCCATTTTAACACCTGGGTGGAGAGTGGCAAATGTAGATCAATGTCTTGCCAAAAGACATTAGTGCCACGGCGGGACTTGAACCGCGGACCTTGTGATCCACAGTCCGGTGACATATCCACTCGACCACGACACCTCTACAATTGCATCTTATTTTTTTATAATTCTGATATGGGAAATGAATTTTGATTGAAACGTTCCAAAAGTACTCTCGGTTGTTCCGTGTGTGTTTATGTTGTTATGTATTTTTTCTTCTTCTATTTTCAGTGAAATGTCATCATAATTTCATATTATCTTTATAGTTCGAATTAAAAAAAGGAATTACCCATGTCATGTGAGTATGGGACCAATTTACTATCACATTCAAATCCTAAACCAAGCGTTATTATATTAACCAAGATATGAGCATCTCATCGCAAAAGAGAATTGTGTACTGTCATAATACGCTAATAAGATTTTATTGCTACGCTCATCTTCACTAACAGCACACTGGCAAGGAGACAAAGCTAAGAGGGAAAAATGGAAATGAATCGTTCCCTTGAAAGCAGACTGATTTAAAAGAACAGGGGCGGATCTAGCTTTTTGCTAAGGGGGGGGTTGACCAAAATAATGACGATGCGGAGCATCGTCCACGAGCCGCGAAGCGGCGAGCCGATTTTTTGGGGGGTGTTTATTTGAAC